AAGTTGTGGCATAAGGTAATTTTAAGCATTCATGGGTACGGGGACAAAGGATGGGATGTTGGAGTGTCTGCCAAGGCAACTCTAGCCTCCCCTTGGAAGGCTATCCATGCCATTCTTTTGAGTTTCCTCTCTTGTATCAAGTACAATGTTTGTTTTGGTAATCAAGTAAAAATTTGAGAACGTATTTGGATTGTACAATCACCTTTGAAAGATCAATTTCCATCATTATATGCTTTATCTTCTTTCTAAGGGGAATTTGTGTCAAAGTTCATTACACCTTCGAACTCACATTCTAATTTTGATTGCGACTTGGGTTTTCGATGAGGTGTAAGGGACTCTGATGTACCAAATGTACTTAGAGTTCTTCAAATTCTTGAAGGGGTGTTTTTTTGTCCCCTTAAACATGACTCTAGGATTTGGACTCCATCTTCCTTTGGCTCTTTCTCTTGTACTTGCTTCTTTGAGGTCCTCTTACACCTGTCTGTAATTGCATATCCTTTCCTTGTGAGCGAGATTTGGTATAGACCGATCGTCAAAGAATCGGGGCTTTTTGTTGGGAGGCTTTCCATGAGAAAATTAACAATTGTGACCTTCTACAGAAAAGGATACCTATTTTTTGCCTTTCTCATTCTTGGTGTTTTCTTTGCAAAGGTATTTGGGATTTGTTTTTGTCTCTATTTGGTTGTAGGTGGTCAAATCTTTCTGGCTTGTCAGATCTCTTCGCACATTCTATTTTCAGGTGGTCAAAGAGGGGGAGGGGATCTTGTGGAAATGTACTAGAGCAGCAATATTATGGGCAGTTAGGGAGGAAAGGAATGCTCGAATTTTCAAAGAAAAAGAAAGAGCTCTAGAAGCAGCAATAATAGAGTACATCACTGTTACAGTAGCTCATTGGGCCAAGTCCTTGGACAGTTTCTCAGCTGTTTTGGTAGAGGACATTATGAGAAAATGGTGAGATGTGGTGGGCACTTCTACAAAAAATAATTTGACTTGCAAATTCTGGACTCCCCCAATCGAAGGTTTCATCAAGCTCAACTTCAATGCCAGCAGTAGGGGAAATCCAGGACCTTCAGGGATTAGAGGCATTTTTAGGTATGTGATAGGGATCTTTTAGTGGCACTATTTTCAACACCTATTGGAGTAGGAGATTCTTTAAGGGTGGAGGTTATGGCTGTTATGGAAGGGGTACAAAGAGCAAGAATGATGAATGTAAATAATCTCATTATTGAGGGAGACTCTAAATTGGTGATGGAGTGATTGAAGAGTTGGGGGGGGGGAGGCCTATGGCAGTATAGAAATGATATAAAAATGTTCCTATGTCTGACTAGAGTGATGGAGGTGTGATTTCAATGGGTTCAAAGGACAGCCAACAGAATGGCTGATGGACTAGCCAAGCAAGGGGTGGGGAGGGAGAAAATCTTTTGGGCACAGTTGTAAGGAAAGCTGTTTTGGGAGATACAAACTTGTCATCTCTCCCACTGATGCTCTTAATATATACCTTTTAATTTGCATTAACAAAATTCTCAGTTATTGATAAAAAAATAAATTTAACTAGTTTCTCATTCCTATGGAGGAACTATTAACTGACATGTTAGTCAGTCAAAATAAGACATAACTTGACAATTTGGACCTAGATGGAGGAAATGAATGATGGGTTATTGGAATGGTGTTCATTTTTTATTCTATTAAATGCTTCAATCAATGGTTTCTTTGCAGCAAAATGAAGTTTTAGGCAGGGTGACCCTTTCTCCCCTTTCCTTTCTATATTGGAAGCTTAGGTCCCATTTACTCCAAAGGATTGATTCTTTTGATTCTCACGATCCTCTGGATGAGAATGGTGTTTGGTGGTTCCATTTATCAAAATCTCATACAATTCTGGATGGGAAAATTGGGCCTGGAGCGCACTTCTCAGAAGTGAAAGAATTTCACTTCTGAGAATGAGGATTTTTGAAAAACAATTCTCACTACATCCCCTTTAAAATAACAAACACATATTTACATGTTCCACGTGAGAAGAGGTGTATTGTTGTAATTTCACATGAAATCAGAACATTCAAAGGAGAAGGAAAGCCTAATCCCTATCATCCAAACGTTTCTCTTCTACTATTCTCCTTCTTCCTCAGTGGCTCAAACCATGTTTGTTCTCTTCTTTGGTGAACATTCAACTTGCTACCACCAAGCTTTGGACAACTTACCATCGTGGGGTTTAGGTTCTCTTGCACTCTCGGCACCAAGCTCTGACCATTTGAAAATGGTGTTTTTGTTTTCGTGCACAATGCACAAATTGGCATCACCAAGCTCCAACCATCTGTTTCTATCTACAAATGGCCTTTTTATTAAGCTCTAGTGCACAATGCACAAATCTGTTAATGGGTATGCAGAGTATCAGTTTGCTGCAAGTTCAAATAAAGAAGCCCAGGCTGTCGAATGATCAAATCGACACCACCAAAACTGCTCCAGGAAAAGGATAGTTCTTTCGATCTCTTTGAGTGATTTATGGCAGAACACCTTGGTGAGATTGACATTGTTGAGAACATGAGCTAGCTCTTGACGGGGAATTCCATAATCAAGCAACAAAGTAACCTTCCTGAGAAAACCAATGAAGAATTGGGGATCTATAACAGTTAAAAGACGTTTGAGCTTTAAGGGTTTGATCTGATCTTCCAACTCATCCTGAACAAAGCAGAGCAGCGGACCAATTTCTTCTGCTGTTAGTACATCAGGATGTTTGGTAATCAAGCGATAGAGAGAAAAGCCATCAATCCCAACGGAACACAGGGAAAGAAGTTGGGTGCGAAGGAATTCCAAAGATGCAGACCTGAAAAGTGGATTTTTGTGGAAGAGAACTTTGGCTTCTCTCTCTTCAAGGCCAATTTCTTGAAAGAAGGGGAAATACAATAGGAAGGCTGAAACAAATAAATATGAGTTTGGGTATTTTTCTGGTTTTTATCGGAGAGGTATTGTTGGATTCATAGCATACAGAAACTGTATAATGTTACTATTCCCATTTCTGTCAAGTGACTGGAGAATAAGGTGTTGCTGCCGCTGCATAGGATCACCATTTGTTGAGACTTGAGAATATCGAAACTCCATTGCAGCTGATAAGGGTTTTTGCTGCTAACCGGTTCTTCTCCAATCACAGTTTTGTCTTCAAATGTGAATTTCTCATTCAACTTTCAGCTCCATACCAATCCATTGACAGGTTTACATGGAAGGGAGATGAAGAAATTTGGATCTCTAATGACAAATAGGTACTAGCTGCAACAGGATAAGAGAAAGCCCCAAAGTTTACTCTTATAAAAAAACAAGTTTATTCATTGCCAGTTAGACTATTAGAGAAATGAGAATCAACATTCTAATTCCGAGAAATGAGAATTAGAGCTTATACCAAACACCTATACAGTTTCTTAGAATAAAAAAAATCCAGAATCCATTCTTTTCTGGATGGATTTTGAGGATGAGAAACAGGAGAATTGATGCCAAATGGGGCCTTGTGTTCTTAGCAGATTTGATGTGTAGGACATCTAGTATGTGATTTCTGGAAGGCTTCAGAGTGGATAGAGATGAAGTGGTTTTTTTCTCATTTTAAAATACTTAATACTTCCGGGCCCATGAATTATTTATGAGAAAATGGTCGGGGGAATTAAGAGCTCGAGTTCAATGTATGCAAAGGGACGCAAACGGTTTGTCAAATGCTTTAGCCAAACAAGGGGTTAAGAGGGTTCAGACTTATTTCGGGGGGGGGGGAGGTGGGGGTTGACTAAAAAGACCCAGATTCCTAGCTTGTTTAGATAAAAAGGGTCTATATGGGATGGTAGATGGGCTTAGCAGGGTTCAATTCAATTAGGTGCTTGACACTGGTTTTTACAGTTTACACATTCATTTTTACATAGCTTGATAAAGCAAATGATTATCAATAAAAGGAGTGCATTTTTCTCATCTTCAATTTGCAGATGGTTGCATTTTTTGTTATTTCTTTTTGTGAAACAGAGGGATGGAAGGTATCAATAAAGCAAATGGATTTTATCAAGCTCTGAAAGTCAGTTAGATCAAAAGTCGTTTAAGGTGGTGTTGATTTTTTAAAATGCTGGGATGGTTTTAATTCTGGGAGATTTTGTGTAATTGCTGATTAGATCAGTCAGCCTGTTCTGGGACTGATTTCAGCCTCGTGTGTGTATTTCCTTCTCAATAAATATTACTTTACCTTTTCCAAAAAAATTAATTCTGGGAGATTTTGTTCAGATGCCGAGGGGAGAATTGATTTCTTAAGGTTTACCCAGTGGTGTTGCTCATTGGTTTGGAGCTTGTAATGGTTGGTTGGGTTGTTATTGGTATTGTGGTGTGGACTATAATTGTGTAAGTGGGAGGGGTGCTTGTTTTTAGTCTGAGTTATTGCGCTGTTGGGATGTGGTAAGGCGTGTTTTTTTACTTCATTTTGTCTTGGTGATTGCTTTTCACCAAGACAATTTTTTTTTTCTTTTTTCTTTTCAACATTTTTTCTATTTACTATAAAACAAGTCATTTAGCATGGATTGCTTTGGAAGAAGAGGAATTGGATACTTTCATTGAATATTTGGGACCTTGAAACTATGGGACTGATTAGTTGATGTTGGGGTAATCTTCCATGAAAACTGGGGTTGGCCAGTTTTTTTGAATTTTATGCCCTCTTTCTCTTTGTTGTTTTTCTTCTTTTCACGATTACTAAGAAAGAGAGATTTATTACCAATAAAAAAAGAAAAAGTGGTGATGGGGCACTGGAACATATGAATCCCTCTCCAACCATGTAACAAGTGTCACATTAGAAGAAAAAGCATGTCCCAAGAGCAATTTAGTACTGTTGCTTCTAAACTGATAGATACAATGCATATGCATTTATCCACATATTTCTTTTTCTGTGTACATGCGTTCTGTCTTTTAATTGGTTATTTTTACTTTCATTTCTTGAAGCATTCTTTAATGTAATGTATTAAAACCCTTTTAATTCCATCAGATATTTGCAGGACTGTCAATGGCCTTCTGAAGACGGCTTTAGGTCCACCTCCTGGCTCTACCACAACTTTGTCTCAGGCCCAGGATATTGCTTTCCGTCTTGAATCAGTCAAGTGCTTGGCTGGAATCATCAAATCAATGGGAGTCTGGATGGACCAGCAGCTGCGAGTTACAGATTTCTATCCATTGAAAGGCCCTGAAAATGATGCATCAATAGAGAGCATTAACATACTTGGTGAAGAAGGAGCTGCTGTTGACTATGAGTTGCTCTCTGAATCAAGCTCTGAATTATCAAAGGCTGCTACACTTGAGCAACGCCGAGCATATAAGATAGAATTTCAGGTCTAGTATTATCTTACAATAAGAAACATGAACTTGTTATAGCTGGCTGCACATGATTTTGCACCAATTGTTCAAAGCCAGATTGGGCATGAAACCAGATAGCTGTCTGCTTCTAGTTTCATGCCCAATCTGCTTCCAGTTCTCTTGACTAGTTTGCAGTTTGATCTTTCTGACTATCAAAATGGTTCCAAAACTAGGAAAAAGGAATTTTGTCTGGTTTCCAATTTTTGAGGTTCAACCACTTGGTAAGATTACATGGACCGATGGAGGAAACAGAATCTGACATGTATACTGGAAGCTGACTCAACAAGGCAGAAATGTTAGCATTATATATATTTAAATAATTATCTTTTCTACATGGTAACTTTTTTATAGGAAAGATGGCATTTTTTGTGTACAATGGCTGTTCATTTATGTTAAATAAGAAGGTTGAGAGGAAAATGTTACATGGGAGCATCCCTCAAGAATCCATTGTGTCCAACATAGAGATTTCATCAATTGAGGAGAGTCCATGCCCAGTGTTATTTGCATTTATTGAGGAGAGTCCATGCCCAGTGTTATTTGCTTCCCTTTAATGGACCCAGAGCTATCATGCTCTTCTCTTTGAATTTATTTATGTTTTATATTTATTTATTCCTGCAAACTACTTATTTCCATTTGTAATGATGAGTGTATTGGATTAAATGCAGAAAGGTATTTCATTATTCAATAGGAAACCTTCCAAAGGCATTGAGTTTCTAATAAATGCCAACAAAATTGGTGGTTCTCCAGAAGATGTAGCTTCATTTCTAAAAAATACTTCTGGCTTGAATGAAACCATGATTGGAGACTATTTGGGCGAAAGAGAGGAGTTCTCTTTGAAAGTCATGCATGCTTATGTGGATTCATTTAATTTTGAAGCAATGGATTTCGGGGAAGCAATTAGGTTCTTCTTACGGGGCTTCAGATTGCCCGGGGAGGCACAAAAGATTGACCGCATAATGGAGAAGTTTGCTGAGAGATATTGTAAATGTAACCCGACTTCTTTTAGTCGTGCTGATACTGCTTACGTTCTGGCTTACTCTGTGATAATGCTCAACACTGATGCTCATAATAGCATGGTAAAAGACAAGGTAAGCTTGACGGAACTCTTATTGGATTTCGATCATGTAGTTGCAAGCATCATTTTTGGACGTATATCTCATGCAGCGTAATATTTCAACTTTGTTTCCTATTTCTAAGATCTTGTTGTCACTTATCTTCACATGCAAAATGTTCCCTAGAGATCTATTTGTTTTGGTTTTCAGGTATTCTTTTTAGGATAAAAGAATATATATTTTATGTTGCAAAAAAGTCTGATACTGCCCTTTGGTTTTTTCCATCATATTTTTTTTGTTTTCCTTCCAAAGATTTGTAAGAAAATTTTTAATTTAGATTGTAAAAATGTGTAATTTCTGTAAATGCTTGAGGAATGTCATAAAATTCATAGAAAGCATTAGAGATATTTGTCACAGATGATGTAAAGAAACAGAAATGGAACTTGTATTGAATCGATTTGAATTGTATTCTGACTTCATGTTTGTCTTATGTTGTCTCTGAAGATGTCTAAAGCTGATTTCATTCGCAATAACCGTGGGATAGATGATGGGAAGGACTTACCAGAAGAGTATCTGGGGGCTTTATATGATCAGATTGTGAAAAATGAAATAAAAATGAATGCTGATTCTTCTGCCCCACAAAGCAAGCAGGCAAATAGCTTTAATAAGTTATTGGGCTTGGATGGCATACTCAATCTAGTCACTGGGAACAAGACAGAAGAAAAACCATTAGGTGCAAATGGGGCTCTCATAAGACATATTCAGGAGCAGTTTAGAGCGAAGACAGGCAAATCAGAGTAAGAATTGTTTATCATTTTTATTTGTGCTATTTTTTTTGGTAAGTGAAGCTAGCATTTGCATAATGGGATGTGTTGTAGTGGGACAGAAGTTGGAGTAGAGCATACTTCAAAGTGTCATCTAGAAGATCCTGTAAGCATAACCAGTCAGCCATTATAGCTTTCCACCAGAGTATGCCATAAATTGGGCATGCAATAAATTGGTTATGTTAATCTGACCAATTGTCTTTTTCATGTGATCTCCTTGTAATCCATTGGATAGCAATCCTATCACTCCCATCCATCCCTTTGTAAAAATCCCTTTGCTTTTACACATGTGCCATGATGTCACTATTTGGCCTTCTGGTTGATATAATGGGCACCTGATTGTTGTACTTTCTTTTCAGCCTTAAATTGGAACTTCATTCCCATTGTATTACAGGTCTGTCTACTATGCTGTCACGGATACTGCAATATTGAGGTTTATGGTGGAGGTTTGCTGGGCTCCAATGCTAGCTGCATTCAGTGTGACCCTTGATCAGAGTGATGATAAGGTTGCCACATCTCAATGCTTACAGGGCTTTAGGCATGCTGTTCATGTCACTGCAGTGATGGGCATGCAGACACAGAGAGATGCTTTTGTTACATCTGTAGCTAAGTTTACATACCTTCATTGTGCTGCAGATATGAAGCAAAAGAATGTTGATGCTGTGAAGGTATGCAATTGATCGTATCATGTAATTGAGGAAAATATCTTTTTGCATTTTTCTGATACAAATACTCCCAGTCTTTTAATAGTCATTTGTAGGCTCACAGGCAAGGCAAGGCACATTTTGAGGGATGTGCCTCGCCTGAACCTAGGCACAACCTCTTTTGAAAAGCATGCACCTGGTGCCCCTGGTGCAACTTGTGCCTTAGCCCAGATATGTGCCTTTTTTAAATGTCTCTTTTGTTAATAATTTTGGTAGATTCTTGTGTGTTTTACACCTTTGTAATGCTTTATTGACTTCTAAAATAAGCAGAAAAAAGACCTATCAACTTCTAAAATAATGCTTTATCAACTTTTAAAATAAGCAGAAAAATCCTTTTAAATACCTGAAACCTTAGATCTTCCACTAAATAAGCAACAATATTGCAACTAATATCTGAGCCCTAACCCTAAAATATAATGGTATGCAACTAAAATCACAAGCTATTTGGGCCAAAAATTTGGGTTGGGGGGTGCCGCCCAACCCCTGGATGAACTTGTTTGTGCTTGCTTCAAGGGCCTTTACAGAGGTGGAGAGGCAATGTCTCAGGATTAGGATGGCAAGATGTAACTACTTGAAGTAATTTCAATAGGGGATAAATTAACACATTAAAAGTTTCACATGCTTGAAGCACTTTGGTAAGATCGACATATGTTTGCTTTTACTTCCACATTTTTACTTTGGCTATGTTTTGTGTAATTAAGTAATTTGAACTATTAGGCTTTTTCCTTTGATAGATGGCAAGCTTTTATTGAAATACCAATAGTCTTTTTAAAACCTTTGGTTTCTTTGAAAACAAAAGTTTGTGCCTTGCCATACAAATGTTATCCATATTGCACCTTGGGCTCTATAAGGCCCTTGCACTTTTAAAACAGAGAATGTTCCCTGGTTGGAGCAAATTTAACAGTACTTGAGAATGTTCATTTATTATCCACCCATACCATACAAATGGACCTGATTGGAAAATCCTTCATCAAATCTCCTGATTCTTTTCCTAACTGTTATCAATATTTTATGGACCCCATCCTAAAAATATCATAGATCTTAGGGGTAGGATTTCCTTATCAGGTTAATTTAACAAGGAGTAGGTGGGACGTGTGTTTTTCTTCTACTCATTTTCTTTGCTATGTGCAAGCCTCTGGACCACAGGTTGGTGGATCTGCAAGATCGAGGGCTAAAATTCTTATTTCTGTAACTTTCTTATTATATAATTTCTTTTAACAGGCAATTATGTCAATTGCCATTGAAGATGGCAATTACCTTCAGGAAGCCTGGGAACACATATTAACATGCCTCTCCCGATTTGAGCATCTACAACTGTTAGGAGAAGGTGCACCACCTGATGCTTCTTTTTTCACAGTACCTCAATCTGAAACAGAAGAAAAGACACAAAAGCCAATTGGATTTCCACACTTAAAGCGGAAAGGAAGTTCTATGCAGAATCCAGCTGTAATGGCTGTTGTTCGAGGAGGTTCTTATGATAGCGCTACTCTTGGGGTTAATACCTCAGGGCTTGTGTCGGCAGAACAAATCAGTAATTTTATTTCCAACTTGAACCTGCTTGACCAAATTGGAAATTTTGAGCTAAACCACATATTTGCCCATAGCCAGAGGCTGAACAGTGAAGCAATAGTAGCTTTTGTAAAAGCCCTCTGTAAAGTTTCCATGGCAGAGTTGCAGTCTCCATCAGATCCTCGTGTTTTCAGCCTTACAAAAATAGTTGAAATTGCGTACGTTTTCTTCCCCCTAGAGAAAGTGTCACGTAATCTCAAATTTGGATGGTGAATGCAGTAATAAAAATAATGTTTCTCTTTGTTTGTGCAGGCACTACAATATGAACCGCATCAGATTGGTGTGGTCACGGATATGGAATGTGCTTTCAGATTTCTTTGTTTCAGTTGGATTGTCAGAAAATCTTTCTGTTGCAATATTCGTGATGGATTCACTTAGACAGCTGGCTATGAAATTCTTAGAGCGTGAGGAGCTGGCAAACTACAACTTCCAGAATGAATTTCTAAGACCCTTTGTGATAGTAATGCAGAAAAGCAGCTCTGCAGAAATTAGGGAATTAATAGTTCGTTGCATCTCACAGATGGTACTAATCCGTGTCAACAATGTGAAGTCTGGCTGGAAAAGTGTTTTTATGGTATGTTTGCTGTTTTATTTTCTAGAATTGGAAGGTTTGTGACTGAATTAACTCTGGACCATACTTTTAAGAGCCAGCCTGGTGCTTGATGTCAAAGAGTCTGGGTTAGTTCAAATAAGCTGGATTTTGATCAACCAGGATTGTCCTAGTGATGTCATAATTAAGGAATTTGGTCAACCGATTTGAACTAAATTAGTTCTGTCACTTTGTTTTGCCGTTGCAGTTATTTTCTCTCTGATCTCTTGCTCCTGGTTGAGTTACTAATTGTATGTGAATTGGTTTCTAGTTCTACAACTCTATAGCATAGTTGTCAAGGTGTCTAGGTGAGTCTCGGGCAACAGTGGGGTGCCTACTCACCTAGTAACCTAGGCGATGAGAATGTTGTAAAATAAAAAGACTAAATTTTACTTTCGAGTTTTTTCCGAGAACAGTCAGTCTGGTGTCTGTAATGGCTGATGTTTCAGCTTTTCTTGGGTTGACTGCTTTTGTACTTTGGTTATCTTTTTAATAAATTTACCTTACCTTCTCAAAAAAAAAAAATCTCTTTGTTATGAACATAATATTCCCCCTCGAGACATGGCAAAACCATCATATCTAGGACAATAGCATTGCAAATATATTAATTTCAAACATTTTGAAAAATGATACTTATATAATAAGCATTTAATAGAGCAATTTCATATCAAACTAGCAACTAAAGAAGGCTATAGTTTTATATGATAAAACTTAAGATATAAAGTAAAATTGAAAAACTGACAAGGGTAGAGAGAGAGAGAGAGAGAGCAAAAAAGGAAACCTCTTTCTACTTCTATTCTTTATTTTCTTTTCTCTTCCTGAAACTCTTGAATCTTTTAAATTTGAATAGTAGAGCTTTAAAACAACATATAAATGATATATATAGTATATAATAGAATGTATTAGGCTATTGGCACACATATTAGTAACATTTAGCAATATGAATGATATTATAGGCGTCACCTTGTCATTTTTGTCACCTAGGAGGGCGTCTAGCTACCATAAGTCAAGGCGTTTAGGAAAGGCGCCCTGCCAAGGGTGCCTAGTTGCCTAGGTGAATGCCTTGACAACTATGTTCTATAGTACCGTCCACTATATATCATTGTCATGTTTCAGATACACATGCTTCATGGTTAAAAGTAATTATATCTTCATAATTCACAATTGAAGGATACTAAGAGTGGTTCAAGTACCAAGCTGATCCAGGAACAAAGGCTTTRCTGTACTATTAGTGTTTAAAAATAGTTACTGGGTTATAAAGATTTGCTAATTGATTAAGACAGCCATTTGGTTTACCAATTTTCTATTTATTGCTCCCAATGCTTTAAAAGCACAAGGCGAGGTGCAAAAATGCAACAAAAAAATACAAGCTGATCCATACTAAGAGTGGTTCAAGTACCAAGCTGATCCAGGAACAAAGGCTTTACTGTACTATTAGTGTTTAAAAATAGTTACTGGGTTATAAAGATTTGCTAATTGATTAAGACAGCCATTTGGTTTACCAATTTTCTATTTATTGCTCCCAATGCTTTAAAAGCGCAAGCGAGGTGCAAAAAAGCAACAAAAAAACCAAAAAAATACAAAAGAAACTAAAAAAAATAAAATATTAAAAATAATATTGATGAAAAATATTAACTTAAAATTGCTGAAGTTGTTATTGATGATATATATATATATATATATATATATATATATATATATAAAAACTTAATTTTAAAATAAATGTTTTATAAAACCTATTATTTCAAATTAAAATACATAAACATAACATGTAAAACACATTCAAAATGAAAATTTAAAAATTAAATCAAACATAACATATAAAACGTATTGAACCATGTAAAACTCCCAATCTCTTTATTTTTCCCCAATTGCATTACTCCAAATAGCTAATGTGATGTTAACTATTTTGCCTTCTTGATTCTACGAGCCACCTTTGTACGAAGCCCCATGAGGCAAGCCCAAACAAGTCCATGTTAGGGTCTTAAATTCTCAATCCTACAAAAATGATTTATAATTTTAATTATCTTTTAAAATATCTTTTATTAGGATGAATGAATGATCAATAATAGCAAATAGGGGGTCCTCAGAGTTTTGGTGAACAAGTGAAGTGAGTGAACCAGAGTGGAGTAGAACCCCTAGCCTATCCATTAGGTTTAAAAAGGAGCAAAAGGCGCAATCCTGTGCTGAAGTGCAAGGCACTCCAAGTGTGCACCTTTTCAAAATGCTACACCTAGGGCCTAGGCGAGGTGCATTGCCTATGCACCTAGGTTTTCCTTTTTAAATCACTAGACCTGCCTAGGTCAAGCAGCATGAACCAGGTCATGGGTTCTAAGTATTGAATACCTTGAGATGGAATTGAAATGAAATGGTTAGGAGAATGTTTTTTTTTTTTTTTGTCTTTTCTGTTTTTTAATGTGGATGGGAAAATTTGAGGGAT